GCTTAATCAACTTTATTATACAATTTGTTACACTTGAACTTTTACTTACTCCGAAATATCGTGCTTCGTTTTTTAACTCTTGCTGCTATTTTATTAAACTTATATTTATATATAGGGAACTAGGGAACAATAGCTATTTTGTTGTTGATTCTTTATGCCGTTGCAAATATTTTTTCATAACATTTATCATAAAAAGCGCATGTGCATCTATGTTCCTTCGAATATAAGGTTTAGCCCCCAAAAGTATGCTTATGAAAACTTACTTACTTTTAGCTGCGCACAGGCATAGATATATCTTTGTAGCAATACTTGCGTTTGACGATGAAGAACACTTCAAACGAACTTAACAACAACTCAACGCTGCGCACTCGCTTTAAGTGCATTATTTGTTTGGTATCACAGTGAAGTGAGAGCGGAGGGAAGCGGCTTTAGCAGGGTTTTTAAAAAAAAGAAACCTGTAAACTTGATTTTTAAATAAATAAATACTTTTTAAATTTCTGAGTATATACAGCTTTGAACTTTTAAACGTTTGCATTTTCGATTTTTTTTTTTACAGTTTTTCAATATTGGAATTTTTAATATTTTCGTGATTGTTTTATTTTCAATTAAGAAACTTAGTATTTTTGAAATTATGCATTTTTGAAATTATGCATTTTTGAAATTATGTATTTTTGAATTATTAAATTTGTCAAAATTTTAATTATTTCATTTAAGCTTTTGAATTTTAAATTTTTGTATTTTTCTTTCCTTGAAATTATGAATTTTCGTAACTGTGTTTATGAGTTTTTTAAGTTTTTGTATATTTAATATTTTTTTTATGTTGAAATATTGAAATTTGAGCTTTTGAAATGTTGAATTCTTGTACTTTGAGTTTTTGTATTTGGAATATTTTTTTTCTTATCTCAGCTTAAATAATTTTAAAATTGAAACATATGAATATTAGAATTTTTCAATATTTGATTTTAAAATTTTATTTTCGGTTCTGAAACTTTTGAATTTTCCTAAATTTCAATACTTTCTTTGAAATCATGTCTTTTTAAATATTTGAACTTTTCAAAAATTTTTTTTTTTTTTGCTTTTGAACTAAAATTTTGGGATTTTCAAATTTTTATATTCTAGAATTTGCATTTTTGAATTTTAGAGTTTTTAAATTTTTCAAGTTATTGAATTTTTTTATTTAATTTAAATTTAAAATTCCTAAAGCGGAGAGCTAAATAGTGAATATATGAAATTAACCCTCGTCTTTAATCTCCGAGCTTGCAAGAAAATTACATCAGTACATACAATTCCAAACTTTTTATCGCAATCAACTGAAGTTGAAATGAATTCAGTAAATAATAATGAATGCAATATATCAGTGCACTCGGTGCGCTTTGATCTCAAACAATTGACCTCTCCAACTTTTGCAATTTCGCACAGATTTTTAATCAAAATTACAACAATGTCCGAACTAAAGAAGAGAGATAATCAAAAATGTATGGAAAATACGGAATTTTCAGCAATCAAATGCTGGTTATTCCTCCGGTTGCCTAACCGCACACCCACCTCACTTGCAACCTCCACAAAAATGCATGCAAATTGATGTGCAACACTGTGTAACAATCTGTTGCAAAATGAAAAGTTATGCTCTCGCTATTGACTACACTCGCTACAAATGCAGAAATTTGCGAAAAATCGTAGCTCGTCAATTTTCCGATTGCAGCGCCCCAACGGATGCCACCAACCAGCCATCCAACCCACCGGTCGCACATTTAGCGCATTTGTAGCAGCTGTTTGGTGCTTGATTAGTTGCTGCTAGTTGGAAAGTGGAAGTTTGTTACACGACTGAACATTTGCTGCAAATGCGAGTACATGAGCTGAATCATTTTACATCTGCAACAACAACAACAACAACAACAACAACTGTAGTATCAACAGCTGCAACTGACTGTGCTGAAGTAAAAAGAGTGGGATGCAGCAAGGAACGCCATTGCCAACGATGAGCCAAGTCAGTCAAGTAACGCGGGCTTTGCTAGTTCTCGTAATTCGAGTTGGTCAATATTAATTCTTTGATTGTTTTATTTTCAATGCATGATTTTGGCGGCCACAGCAGCCTAGTGGTTAGCATTGCGTACTGACATACGGAAGACTCGAGTTCATATCCCTGTGCCACCAACATCTAAAAAGTTAAGGAAAATTTATTTAAATAAAAAATTAAGTTAAATTTTCTAATTGCGATCGCCCCTCGGCTGGATATGTTCACCCCTCCAAGTGTATTTCTGATATGAAATAAAGGCTCTTCATAGGAAAACCATCAGCCGTTCGAAGGCGGCTTGGTATAAACTGCTGGTCCCTCAATTTGTTGGAAAAACATCAAGACGCAAACTCACAAATTGGAGGAGGAGCTTGGCCGAAAAGTTTTTATCTAAGAGCTGGCTCAGTACGTTGTGAGCGCTCGTCGAAGGTGGTCGAAATTGCGGCTGAAGTCATTAATTTAGCTTATGGGCCCGATACTGTAAACGAACGTGTACTACGAGCTGCTCCCCTATGGCCAAACACTCCATTCGGCCCTCTACTGCCAACAAATGGACCGCTTGAAAGCAGCACTCATCTAAAAGAGGCCATCTTTGATTAACAGAGGCCATCAGGACAACGCCAGGCCACACACGTCTTTGGTGACGCGTCAGAAGTTCCAGAAGCTCGGTTTGGAGGTTCTAATGCACCCACCTTATAGTCCGTACCTGGCACCAAGTGATTACCATCTTTTCCTGTCCATGGAGAAAGCGCTTGATGGTGAGAAGTTGGCCTCAAGAGAGGCCTGTGAAAATTGGCTCTCCGAATTTTTATCCAATAGGGACGCAGCCTTCTGCGAGAGGGGTATAATGATTTGGCATCTCATTAGCAAACGAACAAAACGGCTCATTTTTGAAAAATCAATTTAATGAAACCGAATAAACTTTTTACTTGACCAATACAATCGAATAAAAGAATAAAAAAATTCAATTAAATCAAAATTATTTTCAGTTTAATTGAGTTAAAAAATAAATATAAAATTGAAGTACAAAAAATTTTATTAATTTTTAATGAAATAAATAATATTTAACGATATGCAATTAAAGTAATTTAAACGAGTTTAAATAAAACTAAATTAAATAAATAAAAGCAAATTCAAGTAAATTTTCAGAAGTTAATAAAATTAACATAAATTAAACTAAAACAAAATAAATTAAATTAAATCAAATTAAATTAAGTATATACTTAATAAAATCAATTTGTACAGTTAAGTGAAATAAGTGAGGTAAAGTAGTGTAAAAATTGCTGTAAGTAAAGTCAAGCGTTTTCACATTTGATTTATTTTTGTTTTTTTTGCATATTATGAGATGCTTCCTGCATTTTTCATCAATGAGTGGCTACTGCACGTTGTTGCTACAACAAGTATTGGTTTTTATTTATAAGCTTATGGCATCAGTGGCGCCACCAACACTCGTATGTATGGTCGGCACTGAGAAGTAAAAAATGAATTGAATTACAAGAAAAGTAAAGTGGAAAGTAAAAGAACCAACAAAGCCAAATAAACCAGAAGCAACGTATAAAGTGCAATAATTAAGTTGACAAGACAAAGTAAGAAGAAGATAAAAGAAGGAAATGGTCCGATAATTTATTGAAGCTAAGTTTAGGCGACTCGTGCAGAGGACTTGTTGCTAGAAGAAGTGTGTTGTTATTAGGGTTGTTAAGAAATCAAGGAGGCTACGAAATAGAAAGAGTTAATGAAAGTCTCAAAACTGCCATTGAATGCAAAAAAAAAGATACGTACTTACACGGTGTGTCCCAAAAATAACCAAACTTTTTGGATATAAAATAAAATACACATTGTATTATCTTTGAAAGTTATTATTTATTCGAAATAGGTTCCATTTGACTCAACAAAACGTTTGGAACGATCAACCAGCGCATGCATAGATTTTTTTATGTCGTTTATAGAAATGTTCTTCAGTACCTCGGTTACGGCTGCTTGAATGGCTGGGATATCATCATAAAATGCTCCCTTCATTTTGGTTTTCAGTTTTGGAAATACAAAATAGTCACATGGTGATGGATCAGGCGAATACGGAGGATGGTCGATGAGAGAAACCTCTTCTTTCATTAAAAATTCGAGCGATTTTTTGGTCATCATTTAATTCACGGGGAACAAATCGCGCACAGACCTTTCTTTTCCCTAAATCTTCAGTTAAAATTGTCCAAATTGTGTTTTTACTCGTATTTAATTCCTCAGCCAACATTCTCGTAGTAAAATTTGCATCGATACCAATGATTTCACGGACTTTTTCCACCAGTTCAGCACGATTACTAGTTTCTGGACGTCCTGCTCTAGAGTCGTCATTTAAATCCTCACGACCATTTTTAAATCGTGTAAACCACGTATAAGCTTGCGTACGACTCATACAATCATCACAATAAAATTTTTTCATTAATTTTTTTTTTTTTCAAGTTTGACACAAAATTTTATATTTGCTCTTTGTTCCATTTTATTTTTGAACCATTAGCACACTTTTGGTTTTATTGAAATGGCTGTCACTTTTACATCTGTCATCCGACTAGCATGATGTTAGGGGCGTTTGAAAGAGGATGAATGTAGCTTTTTAATGTTGCAAATTCTCAATAGATGGCTCTGTATGTTGTATGATTTAAATATATATATAAATATGATTAAATACAGATATACACTTGGCATGAGCAAGTTATTTGGCATACGTTGCACAGTGTTGCAGTAATTATGTATGTACCTAATCAGCTTTCAGTAAGGTTACAAGGGAGATGTGTTAATAATGAAATCTAAAACAAGCTGTTCTTCCCCCATCTCTCACATATTTATAGTATTGTGTGATTGTGTTTTTTGCTGTGCATTGAAATAAATATCACATAAAATTTGTTTTTATTTACAAAGTTTTTATTTAAACAAATTGCTAAGATATTTGTGATTTTTTTTTTTTCAAACTGGTACTCTTTTTTTCTGCTTGCAGGTATGTCTCTTTTATGAAGTCACCTACAGTACATATTCACATGCGAGGAAATAGTGTAAGTAGGAATGAGGCTCGAAGAGTAAGTCACAATAAACTTGCTTTTGATCAAGAATATTTGTTTGGATTTATATAACTAAAATAATGGAGAAAAATGACACTCAAATGAGATTTGGATACAAATTTCTTGCCCTAAATCTTTTCAAATCGATGCCAGCAAGGAAAGGAGCATTTGATATACAGCGAATTTAATATGAAATTGAATATTTGGCCGGGTGTAGATTCTCTCTTTATCAAACTTTCAAAAAATCTCACACATTTACCTCCTCGTGTAAGGAATTTCGAAATGCAAATATCTCCGCAGAAGGTCGCATAACATTTTCCTTAAAAGCATTCGCAGCTATCAACTGAATCGACAGCGCATCTGAAAGCTTTCAGGCGGTGAAACTTCATTTTGGGCGCAATCAAAAACAGATAAAATGAATTATTAAAGTAAATGAAAGCAGCTGTTAAAGGAAGCTCAGTAGAGAACTGAATGAATTTTCCATTAAAACAAACTTAAATTGCACGCCGCTGAGGAGGCATGTAGAAGAAAAGTGCAGGAGAAGGGGCGGCAAATGGGAATGCGATGGCAAACCACAACATGTGAAAAGTGTTTTTCCTATTTTTCTTTTCTTCATTTCCACTTTATGTGACGGCATTGCATACCTTGAGGCGTGTGCAAGAACAAGCAGTTTACCAAAAAAAAGGAAAAAAAAAAACAATAACAACACCGCTCGACGCACGCGTCTACCTACCGCTCGCTCACGTCTCTGCTGCATTGACGAAATTGATTGCTAAACGCTGCACGTGCTGGCAGTTGCGAAGCTAAAGAGAGCACAAATCTAAAAAATAGCAAAAATTTTAATACACACAAATGCCAACAAAAACATGAAGAACAAAAACTGCACAGCAATGTGTTAGTGCGTGCGTGTGTGTGTGCGTGTGTGTGTGTGTGTGTTCCTAACAAGTTTGCGGAATAAAGTAGAAAACCATGAGTTCGAGGTGATGGCATGTTTTGAGTCGCATGAAGCTGCTTAACACGAGCTCTTCCAAATGCAAGTGCGACGAAGGAAAGCAAATGTGGGTGCTTGCATGTGTTGGTAGCTGGTAAAGTGTCGATGAATGAAAATAGACTTCAATATACAAACATATTTACATATGTAAATAGCAGAGTTGTGGCGCCGCAAATTTTTCGCAACCGGAGTCAAAACGGTTGGTAGGTAGATTTGTATGTGGTAATGTTTGCACGTGTGCCTATCGCCACGATAGAATTCAAAGTTTTTTCCAGTTACCTAACGTAGGCACTTACACGACCTCGCTGAGTCAGTAATAACATATACCAGTAGTTTGGCTTTCCAATGGAGTGCAGGTCCACCTCTCGCTATGCTTCTACCAGCGGGTACTGCATCGAGCACTTTGAAAGCTAAAGTCTTCGCTTGTAGCAGAACGAGAATGTCTAAAGTCACACATGTTGGTAATGGTGGTTCGGCGGCAGAGTAGATGCTGGCTCAGAGAAGTCTAATTAAAGCTAGCTGGAACCTATTCCGAGTGTTTAGGAGGCGTAGCCTGTTTGTGTTCACTTTGAAAAAATTTGCTTGGAAGTACTATTTTCCTATCCATAGGTGTACAACTTTGCTTCCGCCGTTTTTTTTCCAAAATTAAAAGTTTTATTGCGAAAAAGCGCTTGTAGATATATTATTCAAAGTATTGTCCTTCGCTAGCGTCAACTTTCTCCCAACTTTCCGGCAATTTTCGGATCCCGGCTCGAAGAAAGGAGTCCTCTTTTGACGCTATTCATGAAGCAATCCATTTTTCCAATTCTTCGAAGGATTGAAAATGTTGATCTGCCAGGCCGTGTGCCATCGAACGGAATAGGCGGAAGTCAGAAGGGGCGACATCTGGGGAATACAGCGGGTGGGGTAAGACTTCCCATTTCAGAGTTTCCAGGTACTTTTTGACCACTTTTGCGACGCGGGGCCGAGCATTGTCGTGTTGGAGGATGACTTTGTCATGTGGCTCTTGATATTGTGGCCGCTTTTCTTTTAGCGCGCGATTAAGGAGCATCAGTTGCGTTCGGTAGCGATCTCCTGTGACGGTTTCACCCGGTTTTAAGAGCTCGTAGTAAATCACACCGCTCTCAGAGAGCATTCGATGCGCTTCAGCTGCAAATGGCGAGAATTAGGAACACAAACGGACATTTTCGAGCGTGAATAATACGAAAACAAGAACAACTGTCACTGAAACGGCGATGACAATTCGTTAGGCACTGTCCACACTCACTTTAAAAGCATTATCATCTATGTATTTCAACCAGCCTCAGCCGATACAGCCACCTATCGGAAAACGGCGGAAGCAAAGTTGTACACCTGAAAGAGTTTGACTCATCCTACATAGGAAGTGCACTTATTTTGCGGTTTTCTTTTAAGACACAGTGAAGGGGAATTGTTAATTCAGTTATCTCGTGGTTAGGTCTTAACTAATTAATACTTGCCATCTGCTATGGGATCGAAACTGCCGACGGCAGCTTGTCAGTAATCCTTTAGCGTGTTTGCCATAAGACATTCTGCTTCTATGAATTCTTTTCTCACTTGAGAGGCGTTTATAAAGATTTCCCCCCTCACTCCTTGTGGGGATCAATCTCCATGTGCTGATGTAGAAAGCTAATGCGTAATCCGGCGAGCTGTGTTGATCTTTGGAATCCAAAGATAGCAAGAAGTGATAGTCGAAGTTAGTCTTCTTGAACCCTTGGAGTGCAAACGCAATTATAAGCTCGAACCTTTTCTGTGGCACATCCGCCGAGTGGTAATCGCTTAGCATTCAGAGGTACAAGATGTAAAGACAGCCCCGACAAAACTGAATTAAAAGAATCGTTTACAAGCCTTGTAAGTTTAAATATGTGCATATGTAAGAAAGGTTGGAAAATCCCTTTGCACTTAGGGTTACTTATATTTTGTTGTTGCTTGTCGAAATCACTGGCGGAAAATTAAATCGTACCAGCAGCAATATCGCAACGGCTTATAAGCGTTTTGCTGTCACAAACGTTTGCCGAGGGCATGCACACAAGAGATTCCGTGTATGTGTGGGTGTAGAAGGTGTGTGTATGTACGGGAGGAGGGCATAAGCGCGTACATGTTTTTCATTCACACAGGTTTTCCTTTCCACACAATTCAATCGAATACCCGACGCTATCGGCTGCCATTTAAACACACACACACACACACCCACAAGCGGGTACCTTTGCCACAAGCTCTTTGGAATCCAACCGCCAGCAGTAATGTCATAACATGCTATTTTACTTTATATGCAGCGCACCACTTAACTTCCTTCCGTCCTTCCGTCCTTCCTCACACGGGCAACCTGCAACTGCTGCCTGCCTGTTTGCGTCTTTGCCAGCCTTCATTGCCACGCATTGTGTTGAAAGCAAGCTTCCTGACTCGGTTACCCGCTGGATGGGTAGGTGAGCTGCCGTGCGTACTCAACGCAGACAATGCCAGCTACAAGAGGCTGCTGGTATGGAACTGGCAACTTACGTCCCGTGTCTGCGCGTGCACGTTCATCTGTGTGTGTGCGAGTGTGCGAGTGTGTTCGAGTGCCAAAACAATTCCTCCAAAATTGCATTTATCCATCCATCGGCATTGTTCTGCTTATTGCATGTGCACATAACTATGTGCGTGTGTGTTGTTGCACCCGCTTCCTTTCATGCACCACTTGTACGTTTCAACACTTCACTGTATGACGCACACGGGGGTTCACTCAAAAGATGACCCCATTCACTTTACTTCGAGCACCGTTTCGATACTATTCAGTAACACCACTTGCTGTTGACCGTCCGTGGTTTTGTTGAAAGATTTTTTTTATTACTAACCGTTACTTTATCATACCCAGCTTAGTCTCACGCGTAGGGTCTTTTAAGTTTGCACGTCTAACGGCATAAATAAATCGGTCTAGTCTTGGACACACTCGAATTGTCCAGTTTGCAAGGGGGGTCCGGTCCCGTTGTGGCTGATCTGTTTCTGGAATCGGAAGACCGGTATAGTTGAAGCCCATCGGTTGCACCGGGTGATAAGTTATGCAGAGAGTGGCTTCGACGCTTCAAAAGATGTTTTGGAAAGTAGTCTTACTTGCTAACAAACAGTGTTATAACAACGAATCTGGAAAGACATCAAGTATCCAGCTACTCATATGTGAGCGTTACCTCCATTTTCAGCGACAGTCACTCAGCAGTGAAGGCACTGGGATCCCTTATACTAATTTTCAAAATTATGATTAGCTGCCGTCAATCTCTACAGGAAATGGCCAAATAGAACGTATTGTCTTTCACGTGGTTCTTTGATCACAGGGACATCGAGGCAAACTACAAGGCTGATGAACTTGCTCGGCAAGGTACAACCAAGCAGCTTCTTCTGGATAAAGAACGCATTGTTATGCCCCTTGTCGTTTGTTGCCTCTCAAGGATTTTGCATGGGAAAGAGCCGCGTCAAGGCAGAATTAAACTGCAACTTGACACAAATCAATGCACTCCTGGCCGATATTCCATAAGAAGAGATCAGAGATGTGTTTTCCTTGCAAAGAGAAGATATTTCCGAAATGATACGATCGATAACCTTAAATAGGATCAATTTTAATAGGACAGATCAATGGGTATAATGAGGAGGAGGAAACGATTACCCATCTGCTATGCGACTGTCCGGCTTCAGTCAGTGCTAGGTTTTAGAATTTTGAGCCCTTATTGGAGATTGGTCTAGCGCAGATAACCAACGTTAAACTCATGGATCTAATGACGAGCATTAGATAATAGAAAAGGCTAGATAACGCAGCCTAATGATCAGGTTTCTGTGGCACTGCAACTGGTCTTAGTCAGGCATAAGCATAATCGATACGATAGATCGGTAGCCACCACAACCTAACCTAAGCTAACCCAGTCTTCTTTACTTTTAACCAATTAATTTGAGTAAAATTAATTTAAAAAAATAGCGGTTCCAGACTAAAATAGCTCTAACTTATATATTTTTTTAATCACATTTTTTTTATCTTCATTCCAAGGCACTTATGATGAATACTTCATTTCGATTCATTCACTACTTGTGCTCATATATGCCAGTTCAACTACTTTTCTTGATGGTTTCGAGTGCCTTGAGTTCTTTTGTAGCTCATTCCCCATAACCAAACGTTTTTGCTCTACAAAAATATTTACTTTGCACTCTCTACAGTTATGTTTTCATTCATTTCTTACTCGAAACTCCACCAGTTGCAGTGGAAATATTTATTTTTTGATCTGTTATTTGCAGATTAAAGAAGTGTTCTTTTCGTTCCTCCTCTTTTTCCAATTCAACACAGCTCGAGGTGTCACTAACACATGATCATTTCACTTATTGCATTGCATCCCACTGTGGTTTTCCAGAGTTTTTCATTTTCACTCGGTGATATAACAAAAGCAACAAATATCGCATAATAAGCAATAACGAAATATTAATGATTTTGGCACGAAATTCCTTTCGCATTTGCACTTTTATTATCTCACTTGAGCTTTCCATTAGAGAGGGTGGAATGCAATGGTAGCTTAGAGTAACGGTGTTTTATATTTTCACCTTTTCTCCTTTTTTTTGGCAACTATTGAGTGTATGCATTAATTCGTGCGGTTTTTTTTCGAAAATTAAGACTTTATTGTGAAAAAATTGTTATACATTTAATGTTCAAATTATTGCCCATCGGAAGCTGCTCAGATGTTTGCCCATCTTTCTGGTGGTTTGTGGATCCCATCCCAAAAGAACTTCTCCGGCTTTGAGGCCAAGAAAGAATCGAGCTAATTTCTGATACCCTGTTCTGAAGTGAAGCGT